TGGGTTTGAGCCCCCCGCCTCCTTGGTGAGGAGCCCCCCTGCCTCCAGCCCCGCTGTTCCACGTGCTGACTCACAGCTGTCGGCCCCCACGGGAGCCGAGCCGTCCCACTGTGTAGAAGACCCTCTCACTGGAAGCGGTTCTTGAATTTCAGGAATATACTGGAGCCTTGGGAAGCAAGGAGGGCTTCCCAGTCTGGCCCCGCCTTCTCTCCCTCCTTCCTACTCCTTCTCTTATTCCCTCTCCCTGAACGTTTCTAGGAGCCTCCGAAGGTCTGGACAGTGCAGTGTCCCATAGCATCACCCCAGGGCCTCACCCACAGCCCCGTGCACAGCCCCACCCACAGCTCCACCAACAGCCCCACCCGCAGCTCCACCCATAACACCACCCTGCGGTCCATCACAGTCCCACCGAGCCCCATCTCACGGTCCCCCTAGGACCCATCCCACTGTCCCCCACAGCTCTATCTATAACCCCACTCCACAGTCCCACAACTCCCCCTACAGACCTAGTCCACAGCTCCCACAGAGGCCCATCCACAGCCCCACCCCACAGCCCCTCACAATTGCCCCTACAGACCCAGCCCACAGTCCCCCCGCCCAAGCCCCCCACAACTCTCCAGCTGGTAGAGAAGGCTCACGCAGTCAAGACTCTGACATCTCTCCTGCTTGGGCAGCCAGTAAAGGTCAGGACAGGATGCTTCCAGCTGAGGGGGCATGGGCACTGCCTGGGGACAAGGATGCCAGGGCCGGCTGGAAAGGACAGGGGTGTGGCCTGGGTCTTAGAGGATGTATAAGATTTGAGTCAAGAAGCCTGTTCCATCCAGCTCAGAGAGCTGGCCAGGAGATAAGAAGGAAAGTAAATAGGAGGATAATCCAGGACTGAAAAAGTGAAAGTAGAGATAAGAGATACAGAAGGCTGACTCTGTAAGTCTAACTTCCGCTACTGGGAAACAAAAAAGGAGAGACCATGACGGGAGAAAAATTAGCAATGAAACATCAAAGAAAACATCTCTAGTTCTCAAGAGATCCGTGGGATGGGGGAGGAAGGAAAAATGACCTGCCCTTAGAAATACCCGCTTAAAAGTCTGGAAACAACGGAGTAAGAAATGCTGGAAAGATTTCAAAAATGGTGAAAGTAAAATGTTTGCTGCAACAAAGTGAGAATCACAGTGGCTCAGACTTCCCATTCGTAGCAATGGACATAAGACACTTGGGAGGTAATTTTGAACCTAGTTTTCTATACTTGGTCAAATTATCACTCAAAGTATGAGACAGAAAAAAGATATCTTCACACCTTCAGGGATGCCAAAATACATATACACTTCACACATATCCTTTCTTGGACAGGATATATGCAGCAAAGTGAGAAAGAAAACTAAGAGATAGAAAGACATGGCTTTGGAGCTAAGGAGTGACCCTCCCAGGGTAACAGCTGTGCAAGAGCCAAGGAGCAAGCAGCCAGAGAGGGGCAGGAGCAGGAACAGTGTTGAGGAGGAAGTCTTGGGAGTAAAACAGTCGTAAAATTGAGACTATGGCAGAGGAACCTTATTGGTTTATTAATAAGAAGGAAGAAAGGTGATTCAAAGCTACGGAGGAAAAAAATGTATATAACAAAATTAAGTTCCAAATATAAAGCAAACTAAAATGAAATATGACTTTAAGCTACTGGTGGAATAAATGTGTTCACCCAGTTTGCCCTGGATGCTAAGAATATCTTTCTGTAGGCTCACAGAGAAGGAAATGTCCCCCAGCCTAGGGCCTGGCTGTGCAGTGAGTAACAGGTATGTCACCAAAATGCTCATAGCCCCGGCAGATAGAGACCCTTGCTACTGTACCACCTGAATCCACCTTTACTGTACAGAATTTGCAAGAGTACATGACTGAGGGGCCGTGGTGGTGGTGGCGGGGGGCAGAAGGGTGGATGGCGAGGGCCATGGGATCCTCACTTTCCAGAAAGGGAAATAAAGACACGGGCCAAAGGTGAGGTAGCATCCACGAGAGAGGAACAGCAGTTCGTAAAGCTTCAGAGGGAACCTACAGAGTTCAAGCATTCCTCGTCGTGTAACTACAGGGCGGATAGGTGGAATTACTCAATCCTGTTTCACATCAGGAAGCCAGTATATTTTGTCAAATGCTTATAAGTCGCAAAACAGGAGGGCAGACAAGCATTTCACTGAAGCTTAAGGGAATAACTAACAAGATATTTAAAAAGAGAAATGAGAAAAAGAAAAGGGTTATCCCAGGAGTGGTGGAACTTTGGTCCGGGTGGGGAGCAGGAGGAAAGAGATTATTTTATCACTAGGTTTTCTGCTATTTGTTTTTTTAACCTTGTTCACATGTATTACTTTGATTAAAATTTGCAAATGTTAAAAATGAAACCAATGATCGGATTACTCCCAAAGTCCTTGAACACCATGACTCAACACTCCATAAAGCAAAGTCAACATATTTTGCTGCTTTACTCTGTAAAGCATTTCACTGGCACCTTCTCAATTCGTTTTACAACCATCACCAAATGTATACAGAGCATGCTTTCCTCGCTGTATCTGCATACAAGAAGAAAAAAAAAATTCAAACATTTACCTAAGGGTACAGTGCCAGCTGGGGTGAGGAAAAATGAGTCCCCCACCTCCACCCCCAGATGGCATCTCCAGGTACCAGAGCAGGTAACTGGGACCCCTCCTGGCCTCCATCCTCTCAGATCAATGGACACTCCTCTCCTTTCTGAGGCTCCCCAGCAAGGAGCTCGCCTGCTCCACCCCCGCTCCGCCCCCAGGCACTTCCCTCTGACTGGAGCAGTTTTATTTTTATTTCTTGTGAAGCATTGCTTATGTCCCAGCCGGCAGCCATGCTCCTGGTGCCATGTTTTGCCTAGAGTGGAGGGCAGCCCGAAGCCATCACAGCACACTTTAGGCTGTGCAGTCTGAGGATAGTTGCAGGCCTGCCAGGATGAGCCCGGATGCAAGAACTGAATCCTTGGGCCACGTAAAATTGTGGAACATTTCACACCTAGAGCAAATATGGAGAAAGAAAAAACAACCCACAGCTTCCACCACCTAGCAGGTACAGGTGAAGACCTCAGAGCTACCTGCCCTGACTTCCCTTACATGGTTCTGTGCACTTGGCCTATGGGGATGCATGCGCCAGGAACACATGGCATTGCCCTGTGTTTTCCAGCATTCACAAGCACATCGCTCTATGGCAGTGCTTCCTGTTTGCAGCTCGCCTTCTTTATGCAGCACTGTTTCAGGACTAAAGTTGATGCACTCATTTCTGCATTGCACCTTTGCATGGATGGGCAAGCAGCTATTGGGCATGTCCCTCCTCACGTGGTTGGGTGTTTAGAAGCCTTTGGAGGTGTGTCTGGGTTTTGCTCTCCCTCGGGCAGTCATGGACCCTCACCTCACAAAAGTGCTATGTGGTTTTTAATTACAAAAGTTATACTTGAGTAGTTTTGAAAACTTAAAAAATATGGGATCCCTGGGTGGCTCACTGGTTTAGCGCCTGCTTTTGGCCTAGGGTGTGATCCTGGAGTCCCGGGATCGAGACCCACGTTGGGTTCCGTGCATGGAGCCTGCTTCTCCCTCTGCCTATGTCTCTGCCTCTTTCTCTCTCTCTCTCTCTCTCTCTCTCTCTCTGTGTGTGTGTATCTTTCATGAATAAATAAATAAAAATTAAAAAAAAGAAAACTTAAAAATATACAAGAGAAGTATGTAAAAATATATTGTCATTTCTACTGCTTAAAGATAAAACTGCTCGAGTCTTGTCTTTTACCAGGAATGTTTCTGTGCATATATACATACACACAATTATATAACTATAGAGAAAAAAATTTAAATACCATGTGATATACTTTGCAAACTGTTTTATTACCTGCCCTTTTTTACTTAATAATATATTGGGTACTAGAAATAGTGAATGTTACATAGTTCACTTAGCCAATCCCCTATCCCTGTTTACACCATGTTAAACATTTTGGTGTTTTCAACAAATTATTTTCTTTTAAGTATTTTTTTTTTTAATTTCTATTAGAGAGAAACCACAAGCTGGGTGGGGGTGGTAGGAAGGAGCAGAGGGAGAGGGAGAAGCAGGTTCTTCACTAAGCAGGGAGCCTGAGGTGGGGTTCGATCCCAGGACCCTGGGATCATGACCTTGAGCCAAAGGCAGACGCTTTACCCACTTTACTCCTAAGTGTTTCATTACTTAATATTCGCTGCATTCACAAGAATATATGTAATGGAGGGGTGAGGTGTTTTTTGTTTGTTTGTTTTTAAGAGATGGAGAGAGAGCACAGAGGAGGGAGGAGCAGAGAGAGAGAATCCTAAGCAAGCTCCATGCCCAGTGAGGAGCCCTTTATGGGGCTCGATCCTACAACCTGGAGATCACATCTGGAGTCAAAATCAAGAGTTGGATGCTCAACTGACCAGGCCACCCAGGTGCCCCTGGAATGGTGAGTTCTGATCTCCCCACCCCCACCCAGGCAGAGCTGATCACTGCTGTCATTGGCCTTGTGGGCCTCACCCAGCCTGGGACCTCTGCACTAGAGACACCCACTCTCCTCGATGTGGGGTTTTTGCTTCCATTACAGTCAAGGCTCAAGCCCTAGCAGCTGACCTTCCCTCCCAAGGTGAAATGTTCATGTAAGAAATTCCCTGGACCAGGGCCGGGAAAGAGCTGCAGAGGCCTGGATGGAGCCACCATGCCTGCTCTGGGCGCCCTGCCCTGACCAGCTTAGGATCTGGATCGGTGTCCATGAAACCTCCAGACTGTGCTTGTTGCTAGGAAGGCCGGGAGACAGACAGAAGACAGGGTGCAGCTGGTGTTCATCAGAGCCAGCTGTCAGTAACCCTTTCCCAAAAGCAATAATGGATCCATAAGCATACCTCATTGGGGGGCTCTGGGTGCTGCTGACTCCCCGGAGGAGGAAGCCTATTGATTATGCAAATCATACTGCTATTTATTGTTGATACTCACCCAGTGCTCCGGGGGAGTTAATAAATGACTAACTGCCCTGTTGTGAGGCTGGGAGTGCAAGACACTGTGACGGGGACAGGGGTAGAGCTGCACACTGAGTCCCTGAGTGCTGCTTTGCTGGCGAATGAGGGTAATGTTGCTCTGTCAGCTGCATCCAGGGTGTGGAGCGGGCGGTCGGGAAAGGGATCTGCAGGAGGACTGAGCCTCCTCACTGCTTTGCGACCATCCGGGTCACCTTGGAGGCTGCGAGTGGGAGCAGAGGCCAGACCGAGGGAGCCGGGTGTCTGGGCACAGACACAATTCCCACTGAATTGGCGCCTGACATCTGGTGACTCCATGCAAACTTCACGAGTGTGACTGGAACCCTGCCAAGCCTGTTTCCCCAAGGCAGGCAGGGCTCAGGGAGGGACCTCCCTGGGGTGGAGGCTCAGAGATGCCTCTGAGGCCCCCCAGGCGCCACAGGTCAGCTGGGCTGCAGTTCTTAGAGGACCCATCACTTCTTTAAAAAGAACTACAGTGCGGTGACTAACATTTGCATGGTTGTCATTTCTAGGTTTCAGAGCTGACCACTGAAGGAAAGTTCTGTGAAGGACTACCAGGTCATGCAGGTGACAGGAGCTCCATGCGATTTGATTTCCCGTGTGACTGCAGGGTGCTCCTACCATATAGGAGTCGGTCAAGCCCTGTGTCTCTCCACTGTCACCTGTGCTGCCACCATGCTCTCCCAGGGCTCAGAATGGGTGCAGGAAGGCCACCAGGGCTGGGGTAGGTGGAGAGGTGATCTTGGACTTGCCAGGTGGGCCTAAATGGAATCACAAAGGCCCTTCCTTGCAAGAGGCAGGTGGGCAGTCAAAGAGAAGTTGCTCTGAAGATAGAGGAAGGGGCTAGGAGTCAAGGAATGTAGGTGATCTCTACAGGCTGGAAAGGGCAAGAAACAGATGCTCCAGAGGGAACCAGTCCTGCTGACAGCTTGGATTTAGCCCTATCAGACTCATTTCAGATTTCTGGCATCCAGAGCTATTGAAGAATAAATATGTCCTGCCTTAAGCTGCTCTGTTGGCAGTGGTTTGGTACAGCAGGAATCAGAAACTACTATGGGCCCTAGGCTCCCAACATCAGCTCCATCCAAACCAGCCTCTCCTGTGGACACTGCTGTGGCATCTCTGATCCATGATGGTGGAAAGTCAGCATGGAGGTGGCAGTGCTGCCAGTAGAAGCCAGGTGCTATCACTGGGCCAACCCACTTTGCACTCAGGCCTTGGGAGTGGTGCTAATGGCAGGAATTTTATCATGGGCTGCATGAGGTTTGATTAGGGGGAACTGAGCCACCCAAGTCCTCAGAATGAATTACACAGCCTAACCCATCATTCAAGGCCCTCTATAGCCCAACCCACCACACACCCACCCCACCACACACCCCACCACACACCAGCCACACCCCCAAGATGGCTGACAAGGCCACAAAGAGATAGCTTTAGAGGATTATGCCCCATTGGGTCCCCCCAGAAGATGCTGTGGCCTCAGTTCTGCATACTATTTGGGCTCCCATCCAGAATCGATTGGTGGCATGTGTGACAGGTAGCATTTCAGCCTCTGCTTGAATACCTCCAGCAGTGCGGTGGTCACTGTTTAGAGGGCTGGTGCCAAATGATGGTAAGTTGCTGTAGTTTGTTAGCTTTGGCCAGCCTCTGCCCTTGGGCGCTCTCTCAACCACCCCTCCTGCCACCTGCTCAAAGACAGCACTCCCAGGGTGCTCCCAGGCCCTGAGCCCTCCAGGACCTGCTGCAGGTCAGCACCAGCCAGCCAGAGGCTGGGTGTCTTCCGGATTGGTGGTAAGATGGGCCCGTCTCATCTGGGGCAGGCAAACTTCATCTCATCGGCTACGGTCAGGGGCTTGCTGTCATCCTACTAGCCTTTGATGCCATGTTGAATCCTTTGTTCTCCAGTACATTAACTGCTACATTCCCGTCACTGTGCAAACCCTCCCCACACTGCATACTTCACACAACTGCCCCAAGTCTGACTCTGTAAGGCGAGGTTCTGATAAAAATGCAGAGTGTTTGGCAAGGAGTGCCTGGGGACTGGCTGCCCACTCTGCAACACCCAGTCCCTGCTCAATTCTGAGATCCTATTAGCACAGACCCTCCCCCGCCCCACTGCTGATGTGCTATGTTATGCCACACAAACTAATACATGTGTTTTTTAAACACAGGAAAACCTACTGCTTGACCATTTTCTTCTTTCTACACTACTGAGGGCCTCTCAAGGTTTCAGGAGGCTCCTGGGCCCTGAGATGGAGGCTCCTTGAATACCAGGCCCCCATCTTCTGGAAAGGAACCCCAGCAGGAAACCAAAACTTCTTGCAAACTTCAGTAGCGATGTCACAAGTGATGGCTGCATTTCCCCCGTCCCATCAGGATTTCTAAAGCATTTGGGTTCCTCTCAACACACAACTATTTATGGAAGTGGATCCATCCGGCTTGCTGCGTGCGATCAGGGAGGTCCTGAGCAGAAAGAAATGGCCTCTGAGAAGGCGGAATGACGGCTTTCCTGGGAAAATTGCTCCAACCGAGACTGGGCTCTGAATGTGTAAGCACCAAAAGACTCTTGTTTGAAAACGTGTTCTTGTTTTCCTGACAGTTTCCTGACAGTTCCACTGTGCTTCAGTGCATTCACTTTGCATCCCCTCCTCCTAGTCTATGATACAGAAGAGATTTTATCAGGAAATGCCTGCCAGGGTAGATGTAGCTCTAGGAAAAATCACCTTTGATAAACTCCAATGCCAGTCTCTTACTACTATTTTACATTTCTCCGTGTTTTCACGTGCTCTCTAAACGACAGGTGACAATGTAAGAATCTGCATCCATCCCCGGATGGAGCCCTCATCTGCACCTGGCTGGGGCTGCGAGGGTCAGGCAGCACCTGTACCTTCTCTCCATACTCGGACCCCATCTCCCATCTCTTCCCACTAGCTGCAGGCTTTACACTGCCTGCTGCAGAAATGCCCTTTGAGGGGAGCAGCCAGAGATGGTTAATGATCACAGGAGATGTAAACAAGCTCTGGCACCAACACACACCATGCCAGTCCCCGGGGCCCCCAGACCTGTCCCCACAGCTCTGGGCTGGCACTTTGTGGCAGCGTGCTTTGGGATCAGTTCCCAGAGCCACCCTCAGGGACTGCAATGGCTGCATACAGGCCATTCTTTGGACTTTGTGCAGAGGGGTAAGGGGAGCAGGCCAACCTCTGGTAGGCACCTGACAGACTTTCAGAACTTCCTAGGGTGACTGGGGCTGACAAATGGGGCTACTGCCCAGGGAGAGAAGCTCAGGTGTTTATTGGGACTTCCAAGGACAGTCACTATGTCCTGCTCAGAAACTCACCATCACTGCCTCTCTGAGGGTCTACCTTTCTCCTTGATGCTCTTGGGGATGCAACTGTCAGGTTGAGCTTTCTTAGGGTGGGGGGAGGGAGTAGAGTTGAGGAATGGGACTGTGACAAGCCGAAATAGGCCGAGTAGGTGGGCGGGGATAGCCACTCTCTGCAAAGTCTCTTCTGTAGAAGACCTGCAGAGTTCCAGGCTGGTTTCTGCCCCCTCAGCCAAATACATATACAGATGCTTGATGTGGTCCATTTTGGTCACTCCCCTCCCCCACCCTGGGCCTCTCTAAGGAACCAACTCTGGCAAATAAAATAATGAATCATAAATTTTATTTCAAAATGTAAACGTCACTAAACATGCATACACGTTAAAACAATAAAATTTACAATTTAGTTATTATTTTTTTTTTTTGCATAGGACATCATTACAATATAGAATCTATGCCATACAAAATACATACAAAGTTTTATCCGAGCAAGCCAAGGCCAGATTGGGAACTGTACAACTGTAATACTTCACTGTAGTGATCCAGGAAAGATGAAACATGGCCTTTGGAAGCATGGTGTGGTGCTGGTTAAAAAGAAAAAAAAAAGTTCCTACAGAAAAGGAAAACGTATGCTCCATGGAAATGGTCTTGGACCCTTGGAGTCTGCCTTGCGATTTTGGCAAACGATTCCAGAGAAGCTCCGTCAGTGGCTTTGGATGAGGAAGGGGTCATTTGTGTGGGTTTGAGAGTATCTGACTCATGCACCTGGCACACCCCCACAAGCTATTCCCCATCATGTGGAAACACAGCAAGCCCCATACCCCACAATGCATAGCTCACACTGATACCATTGAGCCCTTGAGATCCTCAGCACTAGGCACAAGGACTCTCCACGGTGAGGCTAGGGAGCGAAGCCGCCTGCCTGCACACCAGCACCCTGAGTGGGTACAGCTGCCACACCGCTCCCCACACTGGGAAGTGGCCCCATCACCTCCCACACAGGGCGGGCTGGGGACAGATCCAGCTAGTACACCCAGGCCTTGTGCTCTGAGTGGGAGGGATGATCTCCTGCCAGACCTGTGGTTGTCCTGCAGGCATTCAGCTCACATCCTTGGGTTTCTAAATGAGCATGTACAGCATCCTGTCAACGTCACTAGGAAAAGGCCCCCACATCCCTGGAGCAAGCTGTACATGTGGTCCACTCTCCTCTTGTTCATCTTTAAATAAAAGGAGTAAGGTTTTAAAGCTGCATAAGAAGTGGAGAGGTTGGCAGGGCCAGCTGGCCACACCACAAGGCCAACATTGCTCCAGGGGGTCAGTGCAGGCCATACAGGTACACTCCTCTGCCCTCACGGATCCGGAGCTCACAGTTCCCACCAAATCCAATCTTCAAACCAACAAGGGACATGACAGTGTGTGGGGAAAGGGCATTGCCCTAAATGACGTTCAGGCATTTATCAGTAGTAGTAAGCTGGATTGTGCATCCAAATTCTGGTACAAAATTCTCTGGAATGTGTCTTGGACAAACCTTTGAAACCGAGCCTCAGAACTGGGAATGTCAGCTGGAGGAGCTGGCTCCTCCCAGAGCAATCCTGCTTTCAGAAAGCATCAACCCACATCCTTGATTTTAGGTTTGGAAAATATGGTCACTAGACTCACATATGGAATCTTTGGGTAGCGGAAGATGTGGGTGACCAACGAAGCATCTCTGTCTTCGATGTGACCGCTACATCAGACCCTTTATATCGTCCAGCACTGTTTTTGACTGAGTTTTTGCAAAAGGGTTTAAAAACAACAAAAAATCAGTGATACCTGCCAGAAGCCAAAATAATCAAGGATCCTTGTAAACAGCCCAAACCAGGAGTCAAAATAACAAGGGGAGGCTATTGCTCAGATCACACTTTCTTGTTAGGTGGCACTCCTGCTGAGACTACGGATGAAGTCCCTAGGGAGTGTGCTAGGACCCCGTGCAGTCCATCTTAGCACCTGCTTCTGGCAAGAAAGGAGGCTGGGTCTTCTGTAGACTCTGGGCTGGATGGCAGAAAGTTGACTGGAGACCCCAGTTCTGCCACACTTCACTTGGGACCACAGAAAGCCACCAACCCTCTCTTCATGTCCCAACAAGTGGGCTGGGGGCCACCTGTGGCCTGCCTGTCCCTACCTCCAAGTCACTCTCCACTGGTCTAAGATGTGACCCAGGGCATAGGTGAGATCTGGGGACCCAGTCCCACTGACGTTTGCACCTGGTGGCTGCACCTACCAGGTTGCATGCCCTCAGAATAAAGGGTGGGTGGTGTCCTGCACCTCCAGTGCCATTTGTGGGGGTGTGGTGGGATGCAGGTAGGGTACCTCCAGGACTACATTCCCATCAAGGGCATCACTGCCTGGTCCTACATAGCACCCTACAGAAGAGGACCCCGGGGTCCTTCGTGGAAACATCTGTGTTCATGTTTCTTTCTGGATGGCTGTAGGATTCAGTGGGCCTATGGGGGAGCCGACAACTGGTCCACAAATGTGGCTGATGCAAAAAGGGGCTTTCTTTTTTGGGATGTGAGTTAAACAGCAGCCCCTGATGCTTGAGTCCAGGGATGGTTTTAGGACTTTTTGGAGGAAACTCTCCCTTTGTTCAGGAAACCTTCATTTTGAGATTTCTGCCCCCTTGGCCTGTGAGAACAAGTCTGCTACAAAATAAAGGTTTGAGTTTTCTCTATTATGTCTAGGAGTCCTATGGGTTCTTCAATCACATTGAAGCCAGCAAGGATGGCCATTAACCAGAAAAATGAAAGACCCTGAAATAGACCCAGGCTGGGAAAACATTCTACATCTTAGAAGAAAATGCAGGCTGTTTCAGGAAGGTCTGCCCCACATAACTGCTTTCAGTGAGGGCCCAAGGGAGGTGGCTTTCCGCGGCCCACCGCCCCCCTCCACGAGCACTCATTTCATGATGATCAGATGCCAGTGAGAGCCCATGTAAACTTCGCCGGAGGCTCATGGATTTTTCCCACCCTTCAAGTGAGATGAATATCAGCCCCAGATGAGTCAGGATGGTCTGATGGAAGCTCCAGGCCAAGTGCCCAGGGATGCCAGAAGGGAATTCCCTCCAGGTGCCCCACCTCCCAAGCCAGGCCCAGAGCGGAAGGACTGCACCCTGCTATTAGATCAGAACCACTTTGGGAATGAAGACACACTCATTTGCCAAAAATAGCCAATGCCTGCATATTTCTGTTTTAAGGCAATGTTACCTTTCCATCTATCAGACGGAACAGCCCTGGGTCATTCAGAGGAAAAATTAAATTAAGTGCTCTCTTTGGAAACAGCAAACACCCGTGTTCCCTCTCCCACCCCCCACCCCGCCGCTAAAACAAACCAGCTCTTCTTTTATTCCAAGATGACTGGGTTTATAGAGTCCTTACTCCCCTTCCTATGTGCAGACAGATGTGGGGTTAGAAACCCTCCTTCTGAGATGCCAGTGGGCAGATCACAAGGAGAAACCTGGCTTCTCCAGGGGATAGCACTGTGTGGCCTCCCAGAGACACACAGCTCCCTCTCCCTGCCTTCGGGGACCCATGGACGGCGAGCACACCAAAGGACTTTGGAATAAAATTCCTGAACCTGGAATGTGAGTTCCTGAGACGTGAAATGTATTCAGTGTGGCTTTCTATGCCTCACACAGAAACAACTTTGGGAGGGGCCTCCGAGGGCCTTCCAGGCCTCACTTTGGAACTGGGCATAAAGATCTTTCACCCCAAGCACTCAGGGTGCTCTTCTGTCCAGGTCTCTATAGGATATTCTACTCTCTCTCCCAGACCAAACGCAAGCAGGGCTGTCATGCAGCCCAAATGGGGCACAGCAGCCAGGGCAGTCAGCCCTGCATCTGACCCCCATCTCTGTGGGCTTCCATCCACAGCAATAACAATGCTACTGCATTGTTATTGGTACCTAACATGCTACTCAGAAGCCACCACCATGCCACTGGCTAATCCTAGGTGACACACAGTAGAGTTAGAAAGGGGCATCCAAGTGTTACAGACAGCAGATTGCCATCCTTGTGGTCACTATGGACAGAGGGTGCTGGCCTAAAGCTGCAGCCAAGGGCGATTAGCACCAGCCAGGCCGGGGTCCCTTGGGCTTCTCTGTGCTGCACCCCATGCCCTGTAGGTCAGGGTGCAAGCAGGATGGCCACAACCAAGGCACTCTGGGCCCAGGAAGCCCATCTACAGCCCTCTGAGATCCCAAGGGTCATTCCTCCTCACCAAAAAGAACAGAGGTCTCTGCAAAATACCCCGAGTCCACCCCAAACCCCCCTCCCCCCTCCCCCCCCCCCGCGCGCGCGCGCGCACACACACACACACACACACACACACACACTGTCCTGGGGGCTTGTATTTACAGGCCCGAACTCTGAGGAGGAAGGGAAGGGCAGTGCCTGGACAGCAGTACTGAGGAGGAACCTCCAAATGCCTGCAGAGGAGCAGCACGCTGGAGCCCAGCCTGATTGCTCTGCCAGGGCTCAGACCCCAGCTGGGCTCAGGCTGGGGCTCCAAGACAAAGTGCTTAGCTCTCTGCTCCTCCTCTCCCCGGCAGAACCTGGTGATGGAGCACCCACAGCCCTGAGTCGCCACAGATAGGTATGGGCTGGGGCCGCCCAGGCAGGAGAATGATGGGAGGGAACAGGAGAAGTCCAGGGGGTGCAAACCTCATGGAGAAGCTGGAAGTTTGCTAATTCTGAGCTGGGAACATGGTGGGTGTAAGCAAAGTATTTCCCACAACTTTCTGTCTGGTGTTCCCCGGGGAGGAAACAATGCACATTCTCCGACAGCATTTCCCACTACATCTGCTTTACCACTCCCGAAAAGTTCCAAGTCACAATGTTCCGGTCTCTTGCTACAGAACAGTCTCTGTGAAGCACCAAGCACTGCCACATGCACGGCCACACACACTGGGCCTCTGGCCAGGGGGCCCAACAACCTTCCCTGCTATTCCAAACAAAGGTGTCTTGGTAGCAGGGCCGGTCCAGGAGAACACAGGGACTGGAGACACTTGCAGACATCTCTGAAGAAGACCGGGATTCCCAGGCTCTACTTTCCAGTCAGAGAATGTGAAATAGTGAGAGGTCCCCATGTGTCTTCTGCAGGACACAGGATAGGAGGTGTCCCTCCATGGAGCACATACCTCAAGCAGGCCAAGGGCAGGGTGAACGTGGTGGCCCCAAGGTCCCCTTCACGACGGACTTTAGGTGGTGCAGCAGGCTGATCAATCAGGGCTTGCATCTCTGCTTCCAGGGCTCTGAGAGGCCCAGAAGGCCGCTCCTGGAGGCAGGGAGAGGGAAATGGGCTCCCCAGGTGGAGTGCTTCTTCTGCTCGGTACAGCTTAAGGCATCCCTCTGAACATGTATGTCCTGAGCCCGGCCAGGCTGCTGGGGCAGAGGCTGGTGGGGAGGCCCTCAGCTTAGGAATATGGCCTGAAAGCAAGTGTCAGTGACCACATCCATGCAGGACGGACTGACCAATTCACCCACAAGCTGGATGCTGAGCTGCACCTGTACTGCTTGTCTCTGTCCCCAGTGTGTCCCTGAACCTAACAGAAAACTCCAGAGTGCAAATCTATGTACAGAATAAGGCGGCAGGAAGGGAGTGTCCTCACTGACCTTGTGGAACATGTCCATCCCTGAGAAAGGGGGGGCGGGTGCAACACCACTGAATCTCACCTTTGTGGGTATGCCTATTGTGCAATTTATGAATGGTGTTTTTTGAAAATTTTTTGTTTTTTTTTTACAAATTTACTTTGACACCTGAGGTGAAGAAATTGTTGTGTTATTGTTATTGACTTCATAAAGTTCTCTCTTCTTTCTTCTTACAAAAGGGAAAGACACGGCATCAGGAATAGAGGGGTGAGCATCTGCTCATGGCTGTAGTGGGGGTGGAGGGTCCTCGGCCAGCCCCAGGGAGGGGGCGGGGCCCTGGGCGGGGCTGTGCTGCTGCCGGGGGGCGGGGCGGTGGCCGGGCTCATGGAGAGCTGGCTGGGCTGATGGTGGGGCTGCTGGCGTCCGAGCGGCTGTAGTCGCTGAGGGAGCCGGTCCTCGAGCTCCCGCTGCGCCGCTGCAGCATGCCCGGGTGGAAGTTGGCGTGGCGGCGCGCGTGCTTCGTCAGGTGGTCGCTGCGCATGAAGCGCTTCTCGCAGATGGGACAGCTGAACTTCTTCTCGCCGGTGTGTGTGCGGTAGTGCCGGGCCAGCTCGTCCGAGCGCGCGAACTTCTTGTTGCAGTCCTGCCAGCTGCAGGCGAAGGGCCTCTCACCTGCGGGCGACAGGGGCGGAGCGTCAGTACCCGCCTGGCCCTGCCCTCCGGCAAGCCCGCTCCCCCATGCCCACCCCAGTTGCCTCCCCTCCCTCTGCGACAAACCCATGGGGCAAAGGAATGCCCTGCCAGCATCTCAGGTAATGTGGTGGCAGGGCCCAAGGCCTCTGGTGGTGGTGGTGCCAGCCAGGGAGCATGCCACCCAACAGCCTGTGCAGATCCCCTGGCTCTGGCCTGTAGGGAGCTCAGGCGCATCTTCAGAATCAGACTGGGAACCAGGACTAAACGGTTGAAGGGTGGGAGAGGACCCACACTAGCCCTACAGGAACCACACTCCAGAGCCCCACACCCTCGAGGGCCAAGAGACAATTCCCAAACCCAAATGGTCTGCCACCATTCTCACTCCTCCTCAGTTTCCTCATCTATAACAGGACGCGCCAAGACCAGGTAATTTCCTTCTCTTACAGAAGTTCCAATGCGGCCAACAGGCAACAGCAGAGCAGGAGACTACAACAGGCTCTTGCAGACCCAAGCTTGGAGACAGACAAGGATGGCTACTTAGAACACTCCATGAGAGGGAGATAACAAAAGTAGGCTGCAATCAGGACCTCCCTACCTCTCTCCCATCCCTTGCTCAGAGCAAGGAACAGGGCCAGCATTTACCTTGGCAAACTCTAAACCACACACACACACACACACACACAAAACCTCCAAAAAAAACATCAGCTGATCAGAGAGAACCAGCAGAGGCTCCTGGCATCCCAGAATGCAGCCCTTATGGCACTGAGGGTGGCCACACAGACACCCTTTCAACTCTTTACCTTCCACTCCGTCCCCAACTCTGGCCCTAAAGCCAGTCCTCGAAGCTGGCCCACCTTTACCTGGAAGAGGAAATCCATACCACCCACCCTAAATGAGCACATCAACCTTAAATATAAATAAACACCCAAGGATGGCCAGATGGCCAATGAAAACAAACAGCATGAAAGGGAAAAGTCCATGAGCAACAAAACAAGCTTACTCCAGAGGAAAAAGAGTGAAGTCAGGAGACAGAAGAGAATGTCAACCTAAAAATTTTAATTAGTATTCTGAGAAATTTCAGACAAAATTCATGCATAAAGCAAACATGACACCATCAAAAGGAAGTGCAGAGAACAAAAAAATAGTATTTAGAAATGGAGAGTATTGTTACCCAAACAAAAATTCCACAGAAAAGCTAGAAATATACTCAAGTAAATATCCCAGAAAAATGGAACAACATCAAAAAAGCTCTAAAACATGAATGTTGCTGTGTTCTCTGTCTCCTAGTAATGCTGAAACTAAGAGCTATATGTGTGATTGTGTATGTTCTCATTCATTTTACAGGTTTCTGTTTTTTTGTTTTTGTTTCTGTTTTTTTTTTTTTTTGGGAGGAAGAAAGGGTGTTTGTTGGAGGGGGAGATTCAAAATCAAGTAAGAGAGGACACCATCATTTCCCAAACCTATCTAAAAGTTACAAATGATAGTTCAGAGTTATAGGGAACCAATCCCGGCGATACAATATTTAACTAATTTCAGTTCGTTTAAAAAACAAAACAACAGAAAAAGAGGGAAGAGAACAAATTACCAAAGAAACAAGAAAATGGTATATGTCAGAATAAAAAAACACAGGAGACTAACATGGAATGGGCTAGCACAGAGATGGGCAGGGTAGTGAGTAAAGGCTCCTGCTGTGAGAAATTCTGCAATGTCAGAACACTGGGTAAAAAGAGACCACAAAACTTCTTAAAGAGGTGAGAAACAAACACCAAGTTACCTGTAAGGGAATAAGGCTGGGACACACACTAGACTTCTCATAAATCACACAGGATTCTAGATGACAAAGAAATAGAGTCTTCTAAGTTTAGCTCTCAAACTGCAGCAAAAATGAGGAAAACAAAAACAAAAACAAAGACAAAAAAAACAAGAAGTCAGAGAAGTGAGTGAAAAATGAAGAGCATTCAGGAGAGTGAAGCAGAGACCTGGGGACCACCGAGGCAGGATTCACAGGGGGATAGTTCTAAGAAGAAAGTGAGTTCCATGCATCAGAGGTATGATTAAGAGGCTGAATAAACTTCAGGACACAGTAAAGGCACATACAATTCTTTGGTTAAAAGGAAAAAGAGAGGCAATTAGAAACTCCAGGAAAAATAGAAGACATGCAAAAAACTGGGGTCTAAATTTGAAGCAAACTAAAATGCTACAAGACTATGAGCAATCAGGGAAGAACTCTGAGCCAAACATTGATTAAGGGGCTTTTTGTATGTTATGTTATTTATCTTTCACAACAACCCCATGAGGCAGCAGGAGGGAATGAAATCCCTGCACAGGCCCTGGCATATGGAAGCAATCCTTTCACAGTCATGGTCATGTGAACCCTAGCACACTAGTTAGTTGTCAGTGTTTAGAATCACTGTTAAAGACAAAACCCATACAACTGACTCATGGCCCCAGTAGAGAATGTAGATTTAAGAAAATGGTAGGAACACACATATGAACAAAGGAAATGTCTAAATGAGGTTTAGGTTAAAATTATAGGATAATAAAAAAAATTGAATAATACATCCATCAATTCAGGAGGAGGGGAGGGGTAGGAATGAGGTAAATCCTTAAATTTCATGGCAGGGAGATAACAGATCAAATCTAAATGTGATACATCAAGAAACAGTAAAAAAAATCGTATAGGTTATTTATGTCAGTAATCACCAAAACAACTAAAATCAGAGCAATGCTGTGGAGTGAGGCTGCACTGGGAACAGGATTTTTGTTGTTTTAAAAGCTCTTCTATGTTATGTGTCTTTTTAGAATTAAATACATTGTTAATCGGTTCTCAGAGGAAAAAATCTTGTCAACAAAAAAGTTTTGAGAAATGATGCATGCTAAGTCCACTCTAGGAATTTCACAATTCACAATGGTCGGTCACTAAATGTTTGAAAAGTCCAGCATTAAATACAGTGGTTTCATTTCTATGTGACTGGGTGCTGAATTGAAGAGTTTGGTGTGCCAAGTCTGACGGATGAGGCGTAGACCTATCTTCACAGTGTATTAATGACCCAGCCTCAGGGAAGTACCTCTGTGGTGGGGTAAAGAGTGCCCCCCTAAAAAGACATCCAAGTCCTAATGCTTTGAACCAAGGAATCCTCAAATCCTTTTTCTTATTTGGAAAAGGGGTCTTTGTAGATATAATTAAGGTAAGGATCTTTAATGAGATCACAATTGTCCTTAGAAAAGAAGGGGAAAGGACATAGAAGAGAAGGCCAAGCAATGACAGAAGAGATTGGAGTGATACATCAAAAGCCAAGGAACACCAAGCATTGTAGACAGCCCCAGAAACTAGGAGAGAGGCATGAAATGGATTCCCCCCGCCCACCCCTGCCAGGAGAGCTGTCAGAAGGAACAGAGGTCAGCAGAGGAGTGAGCTGCCAACACCTTGATCTTAGACTTCTGCCCTCTAAAACAGTGAGAAAGTGCATTTCTGTTGTTTAAAGTCACCTAGTTTATGGTAATGTGTTATGGCAGCCATAGGAAATGAATATACTACCCCATTCCCAAAGTGGGGTACACATGGTGATTGTACCATGGGGTCACATGCAACCAGATCGTGGCACTGTGCCTGGCACATGCCAAATGCTTACCCTTGAAATGTTTAAGTTATTATGTTTGTTCTTATCCATTCTTTTTGTCATCTGTGTCTTCTTAAATTTAGGCCTGAGGTGGGAGTAGGGGAGGATGAACCCAAATTCAAAGTCACCTTTGCTTTCTAATAAGCCCTGGGCCCTCACAGGGGGGCTTATCCTTTTTAGGGTCCTTATGCTTGCAGCTCTGGGAGGCATTATAGGGTGTAATTATAGATTAGTTACAATGATGTCAGGGCCGCAGAGAACTACAGCATCCAGTAGGATGGGATGCTGGTACCAAGGAGCCTAGAGCAGCAGAAGGTAGGGAAAGCTCGGGATCACCCCTAGGCCACTCACGGCTCTTGGTCTGTCTGGGCATCAGTAGCTTGGCACTTTTACTGAACATGGATCCAATGACTGGCCTTGGGGACTGGGTCATTATGCAGACAGGGTCCTCCCTGTTTCATCCTTTATACCTCTGTCAGCCCATTCCAGGAGGGCAGATGGCAATAAACTGGTCTACAAACAGATGGAGAAAACACTTATGATTCATGCTGGTAAGGAGCAGCACCAGGGTCTGGCTGGGCTGGCCTCTACATGGTGACATGCAAGCAGCACCCAGGAGGCTAATGAGGAACAGCCAGGAGAATTGAGAACAGGTGGGGGAAAGCAAGCCAGCCAGGCAAACAGTCATCCATGACGGTGTTTCTCGTATTTGTAGAGAGGGATCCAAAGACTATTTATGTGGACTATATCCATTGATATTTATCATACTAGAAATTAAACAAAACAATTTAAACTAAGAACTACAGCTATTCCAGTAGCTGTCAGAGGGATGATGTCATCACACATCATGTAGCTTTTGGAATATTCCACTGTATTCTTTTAGAGAAAAAAGAATAATGTTGTTTTGAAAATAGTTTTGACCTTATGGCTTCCTAGAGGGCTCTCAGGTACCTACAGGTGTCCCTGGGCCTCACTCTTCTAAGGACCGACCTCAAGTTTGGTGTGACTGGGCTGAATTAGTATACAGGGAGCGCACCCAGACTGGAGCAGGTCCAGGCCCTACGAGAAGTTGGCCCAGACTCAATGAACCCTAGCATCCCTTCTGCTGGGCTTAAATTCTGCATCTGCTTCCTCTTGGGCATGTGATAGATAGGCAGCAATAGTACCACAGGGTCATCATAAGGGGAGTGCTCAGTCTAGCTCAGAAGTGACCTGATGGAGGATTCCAGAACCCTGATAAGAGCTCAGCCCCCTGCAGCCTCCTGCCTGAAGCCTAAGCCTGGCATGGGCCCCCTCCAGTCCCCTGGCCCTCTCTTTCCAATGAGGGGAGGGCTGCACGGGACCAGGATTAGGGCTGTGGGGCTGAACGGTGAGAGGGCCTTGGGAGGGGAATACAGGGCATGGTGCTGTTGGTGTGTAGTAAGGGAGGGGCAGCTGTGTGGCAGGGGCGCCAAGGCCAAGGGCTCATGGGGTGCAGGGCAGGGGTTACATAAATGTTCTCTGGCGCTGCAGTGAGGCTGTGAGAGTGATTGCTTCATCTTATCAGGGAACACTGTGTCCCACATGCTCCTCTTGCCCAAGCCACAGGCCTGGGCTGGGACAGCTTGTTCCTCCCAGAAGCTACAAGAGGCCAGACTGGGAGCACAGGGGCTTTCCTACAGCCTGAGCCCCTGACTGGGCACCTAGCCCTGGGCCCTGCCCCCGCCCCCTTCCAGGCAGCCTGCAGGTACTGCTTGGGAAGTGTGCATGTTCTAGCTCATGCCCTGAGCTCAGGCTCCTGCCACAGTGAGACTCCATCCAGCTCTGACTCCTGTCCAAAGGGCATGCTCCCAATTATCTCAATTGCTCCAACCAGTTCTGGCCAAACTGCCAACTCCTACAGGTGAGTGGGTCCCTCTTGGCTCCAACAGCACCTGCACAAGGCAGTTCTTTTCTGTCTGGGGGCCTCTTGTGGGCAGTCTGGGGGGTCCTTTTGCATTGCCTCCCAGTGCTTCACATGGAGCCAGGGCCAGAATAAAGTCTGTAGACTAAAGCCTTTTCTGCCTGTGGGCAGTTAAGTGCCTTGCCCTGTTGGCCCCCCGGCCTCCTGCTGGCTCTTCTCAGCTCAGGCTGGCTATACCAGCCAGGGCTCTAGGAAGGCTTGCTGAGCTCCCCTCTGTGGGAGAAAGAAGGGAGGGGATGCAGCTCTGAACGGAAGGCCCCCAGAGAGAAGGGCAGATGGATCCATCGACTGAAATCACATGAATGGACCTCAGTGAGCACAAGGAATCCACATGGGTATGTGTGTGGGGAGTTGATGGTTCTGAAGGGCAGGGCTGGTCAGAGAGTCAGAGGGAGGCACAAACAGAGGTTTCCACAGAGATACAGCTTTTCCCAGGCTCCCAGGCCCCAGCACCCAGGTCCTGGCTATTCACTGCCAGCAAATGGGCTGTCATTCATCAACAGATAGCTCTGATCTGCGGCCACTGGCATGTGGCCACCTCCAGCTCCCTACTTCAACACTGCCATGTTTCTCACTTCAGGGAATCCCTCCTGCTTACCCTCCCACTCTGGGGCAGCTTGGCAGGCGGCCAGCCACTGGAGCCAATCAGCTGCCAGCCTCCAAGGAAAACCAGGTCCACAGGCAGACTCCAGGTCAGCAGAAAGGCTTGTCCCCTGTGGCAGAAAGCAGATTTTCCTTTCATCCAGAGGCCACTGGCTACTCCACTCATTACTGAAAATGTCCGTGGTTTACAGACCCCCATGGAGCTGTCGTGAAGATGCTTTACCTTCTAGGAAGCCCCAGCTGGAAGCCCTTACCCACGGTGGTACTGCAGGAGAGAGGTGAGGCCCAGCAGGAGGGAGAGGTGCCACTCAGTGGGGACCCCTCTTTCCCTGGGACTCTGCCTGTAGCAGGAGAGGTGCTTTCTGAATGGAAGCCACTGCTAAAGTGGTCAGCCCCTGCCCTACCCCACATCCCTGCTCATTTATTGATGGCTTCAGGGGCTGTCATCCTGTCTGTTCCTTCTTACAGTTACCCTAAGGTTTAAGTGGGAGCACATACTTGCCCAAATGAGAGACACTGTTATCACTGGTTGGAAGGGGGGGTTGCTCCTGGGCCCCTGAGCCCCCTGAGAGGGGATCTCATGAGCAAGCCACTGGCAAATGACCATGGTGGGAACCACTGGTTACACACTGAAGCCCCACACCAGTGAGTATTCATCTTTGCTGGAACTACACCCCCCCCCCACCCTGGCCTTGCCCCTGCCCCAGGGCACCCTGGTCTCCTGCTGCTGTTATGGGGTATAGGAGTGTTGCTAATCACATGCTGCCTTACACTCACTCTTGCAGGAGCCAGAGCTGGCAAGATATAAGGAGAGGTTGAAGACTATGACATATAGCCTTGGGGACATAGTTAAAACAAAATCTACCTTTCTACAATCGATACAAGTGTATTTTTAAAGTAGGCGTTTTTGGTGTTGCCTTGCTTTGTTTTGGAGTAGGGTAATTTGATCCTAAAATTCCTACAGAGAAACAAACAAATAGAAATAGCGAGGAAAACTAATAAAGAATGATGTGGACCATCAGATATTCAACATACTGCCACATAAGGTGATAACTGACCAGTGGACAGGAGCAGAAATGCCAGAACTAAACCCTAAAACAGTGGGAAACATTTAGTGTAAATGAACATATCATATGGGTGGAGGGGAGAGGGTCTGAAAATATGTTTAAGGACAGCTAAGTAGCATCTGGAAAGAAAGTAAGGACCACGCTAGGTAGAAGTTCTTTCTATGAATCAAACTCCAGTAGCCATAAATGAAAAGACTGATAAATTTGACTACAAAAGTATAAAATACTTCTCCAAGGACAAAGCCACCAGAAGCAAAGGTAGAAGATAAATGACAATCCAAGGAAAAAATATTTGCAGCTCACACCAGGAAGGCCTACTTTCTGATACATAAAGAAGGTGCAGAAGAGGAAAAACCAACACCTAACAGAAATATGGGCAAAGGCTGTAAGGTAGTTGGTAAAAAGAACACAAAGGACTCCCAGCATCTGCAGAGATGCTCAGCCTCACCCATCAGAATGCCAATGCAAACTAAACTCCACTGAAACCCTATTTTTTTACCTATTAGGCAGCGAAGCTGCAGGAACATGAACTACTCTCACACTCACCAATGGAAATACACATTGCCCCAACTTCTACGGAGGGCAACTTGGCAATACTACTCATAGTTACAAATGTGTGCCACCTTTGACGCCACAAAACAACTTTTGGGAACCTATTCTATACACATCCCTGCACAGCTACAAAATGGAATATGTGCCTAATTATTCAAGGCAGCAAAAGCCTCAAAACAACTCCCGTCCTTCCACGGGGGCCTGTTAATAAGTCAATTCTGGAATGCCCATATAATGGAATACTCTGAACAAGTGGAATGGATTCCTTCTGAACTGACAGGGGGAGATCTCTAAAGTGGTACTGTTGAGGGAAGAAAGTGAGGTTTAGAGCAGAATGTGTAAAATAGGAGAATAAACGGTGTGTGTACACCTATGTGCCTGCGCATTTGTGCAGAAACATACATAAGAAAGTCAGAATGGAGATGACCTGGTGACAGAGGGCTGGGAGGCTGGAGGGAAATCTTGAAAACGGCTTCAATTTCTTGGATTTCAAAACACGCTAACATATTTATTACCCATTCAAAAAATCAAAAACAAGAATCCACAGCAAATTAGGAAACACTAGACACAAATAATGCAAATTTTCAAACAGGAGTTGAAGGAACAATATTCTATGCCTTCCTGGCCAGGCACACTCAAATCACATGGGGCCTGGCATATCCCTCAGCATATTCCAAATGCAATCCTGAGAGCTCCCCTTAAAATAGATCCTCCTGGGAATGGGGGAGGGGGCAAGGGAGCTCCCTGGCAGAGGGGAAACTCAAAACTGGTGAGGAGGCCCAATCTACCTTGCTGGAAGGTGTTTCTGGGGCAGGACTTCCAGGGCTCAAGTCCATGGGTTTTACTGCCAGTTGTTTTGTTGGAGGGTGCTCCCTGATAGTTTCACAGACCTGGTGTGACTTAGAAGGCAAGGGGGAAGAAGGTGAGCAGCAGCAGACTCAGATCTGTAACTGTAGGTGTGAGAGGCCCCTCCAGCCTCCTAGATACCACGTGCCCGGGGCCACCCTCCTACGACTGGACGGCAGAGAACCGCCCTCCAAGGATGTGCCAGGTGCGCCAGGTGAGTTAGCCACTGTCAGGATGCAGGCCATACATTCAAGGCAGGAGAACCAGCGCCCTGGTCCCCTCTGCCAGGGGCTGGTAAGGAGGTGGGAACTAGGGGACGGTGTGGGCTTCTAGGAAAGGGTTTGCTCTTGGACTGAAAGAAGGAAGGAAGGAAGGTAGGAAGGAAGGAAGGAAGGAAGGAAGGAAGGAAGGAAGGAAGGAAGGAAGGAAGGAAAGGAGGAAAGGAAGGAAAGGAGGAAAGAAGGGAGGGAGGAAAGAAGGAAAGAAGGGAGGGAGGGAAGGAGGAAGGAAAGACCGGGGGCTGGGTGTGTGTGGGAGGCCGGGGCAAAAAAGCCTCAGGCAGGCTGTGTGGAGCTGTGACGTCTGGGGTGGCACCAGGGAGGTCTGCAGGGACTCATGGAGAAGCCAAGGTGCTCCTAGATACAGACAATCCAACCTGAGGCCACGCACACCACCCCCTCCCCAAAGAAACGAAACTCATCAAAGTCAGCCAGGGCCCCAGGGGAGGGTGCGGGGCAGAGAGAACTGCTGCCCTACTCACCACCCCAAGGCCCCATGCCCACACCCAGGACTCTCTAGGCAACCAAGGGAGGGGCCCTTCTCTGGAGAGCCTTGGGCAACCATTCTGTTCCACTTCCTCTTCCTGTGTCTCCCCACCACCCTTGCCCCAGCCTTCATTTCCTCACCCTCTACCTCTCCCCGCTGCCTCCTGGGTGGGCCTGGCCCACAGGGACCCAGCCTGGCCACAGCTGCCCCAGAGGCGAGGAAAATGCACAGCACAGGCATCTGCAAGCAGAGAGCTTCACAGGTACGCAGTTTTGACTTTGGACAGACGCAAGCTCATGTAACTCTATCCTGAAGGACAGAAGGGTGGAATGTCAAAATAACTTCACCAAGGCCACACACCCAGAATGGCTGGGGCCTCTGTGTCTAAATTTCACTTAGAAGGAAGACATTACCACAGTCTCTCCCTGCTGTGGAGCAGGAACTGCTATGGCAAGCTGCTCAGGTTGACCCCAGCCATTAGCGTCCTTGGGTCCTTGGTGGGGGTGGGGAGGAGCAGAAGAGGGAGCATCAAGGCCAAGGGCCCATCTCACAGATGAAGGCCCTGATGCCCAGCACACAATGGTGTGAATGAAGTGCCACCCTCGGTACCCGGAGGCTCCCAGCTTCCCAGGGAAGGGAGTTCCCCAGCATCATCCCCTACCCAGTCAAGTAGCACTGGGCCACTCTACCTGCTGGGGGCCTTGACAGGTAGTCACCAGCCTTCTGTGGCATGTGGCCACACCTAACACGTGGAGGAACCGTGTAGCTCTTCTACAAGAGGCCCTGCTTGCCTGCCTACCTGCCTGAGAAGGACTGAGCACTGTGAGGCAGCAGACTCAAAATAATGGAGCTAAGAAGTGGCCCTGGGGAGCAGAGGCTCTTCCCCTAAACCAGCACCTACACTTGGCCTGCTCCTGGTACCCAAAGCAGCAGCCAGTTTCCCTCAGGGGGAAAAGAAAAAAAGTCACAAGGTTTCAAAGAGAACATAGCAAAACAAGGTATTTGTCAGAGCTGGTTTCATAAAGCAAATAAATCAGAATAAAAACAAGCCATTTTTCTCTAGTCCTAAAATGCTTTTGGTTTTTGAGGGAGCTGAGGCAAAAAAAAAAAAAAAAAAAAAAGGCAAAAAAAGCCAGTCACTGACCTACCTTTTCTAGAACAGCTGAAAATGCCAAGTAACTGCTTCAGACACTCAGGGAGGAGCCCAGAAAGCTCCTGGGGCCTCTCCATCAGTAGCCCAGGTCACTAGACCCACTACAGCTTCTGCCACTTGGAGTGATTTATACCCGGTATGTTCTAGGAAAACGGTTTTGTTCAAAAAACCACCTGCAGAGAACAGGATACTACAACAGTAAGCCAGAGAGGCCTTGCTCCTCAGTAAATCTGAGTAATGTTGCCAGAAAGGAGGTGACCACTTGCCATCCTCACCAGCCAGCCCTCTCCTCAACTGCAGAAACCCACACTGTTGTGTAGAAAGAAGAACATCCCCAGGGCTGTTTCAGGTTCAGGGCACAGAGTCCAGCCCCTTCCCCATCCCAGGGCCTGCCCATTGCTTCTCTGAGCCGATCCCTTCCTCCACCCGTCCTGTCTCATGCTCAACTCCGTTCCTCTGCCTAACCTTGAACAGGTCACTAAGGGAGCTCACCCGGAGTGTACCGTCCAGGAAGGGAAGCAGATGCCACTCTGTACTCTAATCCCTACTGGCTCCCAGAGTGTCCTCTTCTTCAAGTGACAGCTCTGCAGGGGACTCTATGACCCAGGGCTACCCTGGGTTAGCCTGATGCCAAGGGAGGGCCAGCAAAAGCTGGAACAAGCTGCCCAGGGTAGGGAGATCCTGAGGTGGGATGTCAGTAGCTTGGTGCTCCTTGCTGTCACCCCTAAGGTCACCGGAACCAGGCTTCAGGTGTCAAAAGGTAAGGGGACAAAGAATGGGTCAGCATGGAGGCTGCCTAGCTGTCCCTTTCTGAAGTCTCAGAAGCCACAGACAGGGGTCCACATATAAGTAGTCCTATTAGCACACACCAACCAAGAAAACAAACTGCCGAGCCACTGAGCCCCACTGTTCCCAATGCCTGCAGGAAATGCACATGCTACATAGCCAGAACAGCAGGAAGGAAACACATCCATTATCATGAGAAGATGGGATTCATGTGTGATAGTCCTTTCTGCATTCCTGTACTTTCCAACTGAGCTGCATTTCATGTTATCTCATGAAATGGGATGTGTACATGTCTCTCTATACAGGTGTATTTAAGTAGACATATTATAAACCTTTGTCACAAAATAGTAACAGCTCACCCACGGTCATATTATAAACCTTTGTCACAAAATAGTAACAGCTCACCCACGGTCCAGCTCAGGAACTGGACATGCTTCCATAGGACTCAGCACCTCTGGCCTCTGGTGAGGGAGTAGCACTAACTGACATGCATGAGTGCATGAGCCTAGAAAGGTCAAAAGAGCACATGCCAGAAATTTCACAAAGGTGTTTTCCCCCTTTTGCTTAGGGTTACAAAACACATTTGAAAATTTCCGTTCCCAGGGTCCCATTTAAAACAGCAATAATAAAATACTAGTAATTTCTGCCAGCAGGCAGCCAGAAACCACCCCACACAAAGGCTCTAGAGGTCCCCTACCCCCTTCACACACACACACACACACACACACACAACCCCCCCCCAAAGGGACATGGATAGAGAGGTATATGAGCTTATGAGCTCCCACTCCCACTTCCAGATCCTGTACCTCAACAGTCCCAGGTGACCAAATGTGATGAGTGGACTCAAGTGAGGTGCCTCAAAGGTTTCTCATCTATTCTGATGGTCACATCACTGTCTCCAAAGGGGACTTTCCATGGACTTAACAGTGACTCCTGTCAAGCTCCCTGATCCCGGCCCTCCCTTTCCTTTGCCATCTCAAAGGGAGCATTCCCCTGCTTTGGGAGCCAGAATGCTGTCACCTGCTCTGTTCTGGGAGTATGTGATCTACTGCACACACAGCCGTGACAACTGCTGACAACCAAAGATGACATTTCAGTTGTTTTTTTTTTCTGAAGTTTCCTCAAACAAGGACAAGGACATGAGTTTGGAACCTACAATTAAGGATTCAGGTTTATTTACTTGATAAAAATGTTCTTCATTTGAGACTGATCACAAGTAAAGGACGCTCATATTCAGAATATATAAAGAACTCTTAAATCTCAAGAGTAAGCAAACATCTGATTTTAAAAACAAGCAAAAGATCTGTACTCAACCAAACAAGATATACAGAGGGCAAACAACTACATGAAAAGGTGCTCAATATCATCATTAAGGAAATGCAAAATAAAGCAATGAGGTGGCACCATACATTTAGGAGAATAGGTAAATTCCCAAAAAACCAACAGTACTAAAAGCTGGTGGAGCCACTGGAACTCTTGTTCGCTGCTGCTGAGAACATGGCACAGTCATTTGGTAAGACAGTTCAGCAGTTTCTTACAAAGTTAAAAACACAACCCAGCAACCCCAGCCCTAGGCATCTACCAAATGGAAGAGCCATCCACAAATGTTTATAGCAGATTTATTCATACTCAGAGAAAATTAGAAGTAAGCTCTTTCTACAGGTAAATGGATAAACAAATTGCAGTATACCCATACAATGGAATACTATTCAATGATGATGAAGAAGGAGCCTCTAATTCACAGACACCAAAATGGTTGAATCTTAAGTGCATTTTACAAAAAGAAAGAAGCTAGATCCAAAAGTCTATATATTGTGTGACTCCACTCATGTGACATTCTGTCAAAGGCAAAACTGTAAGGACAGAAGTGGCTGACCTCAAAAGAGAACTTTTAGGGCTATGGAACTGTCTGCCTGGTACTGGGTTGGTGAATACAAGACTCTGCATTGGTCAAAACCCATAGAACTGTACATCACAGACTGCACTATACTGTATGCAAACTTTGAGCATGTGAAGGAGGTTGGGGGATCCCAGCATGGAATGCAGACCGTGACCACACACTCTGACCACATCACAAATGTATGATGTGGCCTCTGGGAAGGGGGTGGGCAAAAGCAGCTGACCTAAGTAACTTGGGAAAATGTTTTGATTGGAAACGAAGACTACAGACATAAGTAACTGTACTTAAACACTGCTCTAGTTTCTCATGAGATATAAATAGCTGTGAAACTGCTTCACGTGTTTGCTGGGACTGAACGAACAGGTGGCCACATAGTGGATGGTGGGAGCTGGCATCTCACTGCTGGAGAGGGGAGGTTATAGATCAGTGGGGAGGGGAAAGGAGTCCTTCTTCAGCGGCTGCTCCAGAACCTGAGACATCTGTGTGAATGCATGCTTTGCTTAATGAATGAATGCATGTATAGTTCCACACAGAAGGCCCAAGAGAGAAAGTATTAAAGTTATGTGTGTGTAAACGGGCTGGGACACAGGTCTCCTGGGTCCATCCACCGTGAGGGGCCAGAAGTAGCGACATCCCAAGAGCAGGGAGAACACCCAGAACCCAGATCATGGTTTCTAGATAGCATTCTCAAGCAAAAGGAAATCAGAGTTCCTTAGAGAAATGGATGATGCTAGGACCAGAGCAGGAAAAAATACAAGATAAACCTGACTTCTTAATGTCACAAAGCAAGGAAGTGCACAAAAAACCAATCTGACTGAGATGTGTCAAAGGCACATGGGAGCCAACCTGCCAGGATTCCTGGCCAGTGCTAGAACAACTGAGCAGCAAAATGAAGTATCACTGGCAATCATGTGGATAACGTTCTCCCACTGATATGACATGAGAAGGGCATTTCACCTCTGTGCTATTTCTCCCCAAAAACCATAAACCCAGTGTCATCATGCGAAAAACATCAGACAAATGCAAACTAAGGGACAGTCTACAAAATATCTAGCCACTATGCTTCAAAACCATCAAGGTCATGGAAATATTAAGAAACTGTCATAACCACAGGAGCCTGAGAAGACATGACAACTATAGTTCAGGTAATAAATTACAGAAAACCCATTTCATTCACATTTTGTGATCAGTACAGCTGGGATCATGCAGCTCATTTCTAAGTAGTAAGTCAGTTACTGCTTAGCTAGTAGAAGTGGCTGATACAGCCTCACTTGTTAGGGAAAAAAGTAAATGATGGAGAAAGCACATGATTTCTGAGGTTCCTCAAATGCTTTGGGAGCACTGGCTCATGTGGTGGTCACCTCTGCCAGCTGGACCCTTCTCTGATCAATGCAGGACAAATGCACAGAAGTCACTCAGCAACCGTGACAGTGACAACAGAGTGTCAACTGGTCCAGCACCCATTCTTCATGTCCTCTTTCCCCAGACAACATGACTTATGTTTGCAGTGGCAATGCGCCAGGTAAAGACGGTTCCTTTCCGACTCCCTTGCAGCTAGGATTGGCTTTGTGAACTATGTCCAATGAGTTCTGGATATGTCAAGGGATAAACCTTGTTATGATAAAGAGGACTATGTGCCTGGTGCCCTTCTTCCTGCCTGGAGAGTGCTCCCAGGTTGTAGGAGCAGCAGCTGTCATGTGATCCTGGGTGGAAAGCACAGTCTAATTCAATGTATACAATAACTAAAGAGAAAGAGATGATGAGCCTTTCTGGTGGCATCCTGAAGCTGCAACACCAGCCCCGGATATGTACTTTGGGACCCGTGACCAGAGTAAGAAACCTAAACCTACCAACCTTAGGTTTAGACCTTCTTCCTTCCCACAGTTTCAGTTGCTTCCAGATTATTGCTCACTGTAACACTGGCTACAGTGCCAATTCCTGGGTCACATCATTGGACAAAAACCAAAGGAGGCTGCTGGAAGCCTGGGGGCTGGACAATTGAGTCCGTGCAGAGGTAGGAGCCTACATGGGAAGGGAATCTCCTGCTGAGGAGGGACGTACTCATCTTACCCTCTCGCCTCTCCCTGAACCTCCCTGCACTGGCCCACATGCCAAACAGGAACTCTGGATAAACAGCAGATCACTACCCATCCCCAGATCCCTCTAAAATGAAAGGAAAGGGATTTTAAAGGACTAAGTGAAAGGGAAAAGAGAGAACAATAGTAATTTGGAAGCTGGAAATTAGAGGGATGGCAGAGAAAACAAAGAAGCATGTTACTATGGAGGATGTGACCTCCCAAAAGGCTCATGAGGGTCCAGTGGGGCCAGGAGAGGAAGAACCCAAACTAAAGAAGCAACAGACATACCAGAGCCTTCTGTATACTGCACAGACAGCTGCCTGCCTTTTCCATACCTGCCAAAGAATAACTTACTGTTGGGTGGGTCAGAGCGGTGGAGGCTCTGGGCTGGAGACCCCAGATATGGCTCATGGCAGGCAGGGCAGCCTCTCAGATGGCGGCCCAAGGACCAGTTTGCCCACTCCATGCTGCCACTCCCAGTCCTCTCCCCACCTCTCCCCACCTGGCCACCCGAGTGCTGCAGCCAGAACTACACCCTATAGGCAGGGACTGAAAGTCACGGAGCCTGTCTGTGCACCAGTCCTGGCCTTTGGGCGGTATGCCCAGAAACCGGGACAATCAGACAGAGGACAGCCTCTGACGAGGGCTGTGGGGTGAGAGATCCAAACCAGCAAGCAGAAAAAGGCGATCCAGAGGTTGCAGAGGCCATCCGATGTCAGGAGAAGAAAACTTCCAGAGCTATCTGTCATCCGAGAGGTAAGACATGGCACCCACGAACCAGACTGCTCCTTGAAAAACCGCAATTCGGGGGCTCCTGAGAGGCTCAGTTGGTTAAGAGTCTGACCCTTGGTTTCAGCTCAGATCACGATCCTGTGGTAGTGGGACTGAGCCCCATATCAGGCTCTGTGCTCAGCGTGGGGTTTGCTTCAGATTATCTTTCCCACTTTCTCTCTCTCAAATACATAATACCTTAAAAAAAAAAAAAAAAACAACAACAGCAATTCAGAAACCTGAGTCTGAAAGTAAAGACACAGTGGGGGATATGGGAGAGGTTAAAATCTCCATTTCGGGAGTGTAAGAGAAAATGGAGAAAGTCTCACAGAAAACTGAGCAAAAGACAAGTGGATGATGGGAAGGAGAAGGTAAGATAATGGAAGGATCAGCCAAGAATTCCAAGTCCATATAAAAGGAACCGGGGGTGGGGGGGGTGGGGGGATCCCTGGGTGGCTCAGAGGTTTAGTGCCCTGCCTTTGGCCCAGGGCATGATCCTGGAGACCCTGGATCAAGTCCCATGTCAGGCTCCCTGCATGGAGCCTGCTTCTCCCTCTGCCTGTGTCTCTGCCCGCTCCACCCCACCCCCATGAATAAATAAAAAATAAATAAATAAAAGGAACCCAGACAGCACTCAGAACACAGAAAGTGGGCCATGAACCAGAGGATGTGCAAGAATGAGTCCCAGAAGCCAAGGGTACCAGTGGCCACACCAAAGGGCACACTGCAGGAAACAGAGCCTTGGGTCCAGCACTTCCACCCCAACTAATCAGATGAGGAGCAAGACACTTCCAGACACCTATGTCTCCAAGATACGGCCTCCACACCTTCACCAGAAAGCAGAGGCATGCATTCCAGGACATGGGGCCTGAAGGTGGGGGAGGGGAGGTCTCAGGACAGTAGGAATGGGCAGTCAAGGAAGCTACCAGGGGTCTGGAGCACAGTCCTCCACACCAGTGAGAGCCACATGGTGACAAGTGAAGGACAACAGCACTGAGAAAACCAGGCAAAAGGAACAACTATTAATTCAACGGAAAATAAAAATGGGACACCAGGGTCACCACCAACTAGCATCCAGTTAGTCCTGGCCATCTGTCAACATTGAACGCTGACCTAATGCAAAATACCCCACCATCCTAGTGCGGCAGGGGTGACAGGGAGCTCACTTCTCGTCTGCCACCATGGGAAGTCAACACAGGATGTTCAAAGCTGAAATGCAGAGCAGAGCCCCCAGGAGCATGCAGTTGAGAGCTAGGATGGTAAATCCCCAAAGAGGTGGGTAAAGCCAACAGCAGCTGCCTCTGGCAGAGGGCACGGGACGGAAGGGGCACAGCCAGGCACCTGTTTATCACAAAATGTGCATGAGGCTTTGGTCCTTAGGCTACGTGTGCTATGTGGTGCATTACTCTAATACATTTTCAAAAACAATCTGCAAAATGGGACAGACAACATTTGTGGTAGCCAAGCCCTTCCATGCAGAACCACTTTGCTATGCCCACCGCCCCTTTAGAGCTGTGTGAGGGTGTGGGCCCTGCCAGCATCCAAAGGGTGTGGGTGTAGCACCTGCTTTGCTCCTCCCTGGTCCCGTGGACCAGAGGAAAGCCCTTACTGGGCATTTGGGCCTCCTCCCTTGCCTCCTGTTGCCCCAGTACCAGTTGGGACTGTCTTTGTTACTGCTGCTTTTGATTCTAATAAGAACTTGTGTCCAGAATAGTCAGGCACTGGGTACCTTCTTTCACCGCAATGAAGTGCTACCACGGGGGGTGGGGGGTGGCCCACACCACTTCCCAAGTCTAACTAGTCCTCTGGGGTGACTTGAGGCTGGCTTTCTTTATTCCATATTTAATTAGTGTTATTCTGCCATTAGACACACTGGACTTTCATTTTAAAATGTGTGGCACCGAAATATTAATGGATAAAATGTCATGGTGTCTGGGATTTCCTTGAAAACATTGAGGGGGATGTAGGGGATGTTGGAGATGTGGGCATCTATTACATGCTCTGCTCAAGTGGGGTGTCAGCCCGACACTCTTCTGACTGTACAGATGTGGGGTGCCACCATATGCTGTAGCCCAGCCTGAGGGCTCCTCTGCTCACTGGATCTCATCCCTCCTTTGGCTCTCCCAAAGCCAGCTCAACATACCACAGGCTACTCTCTGCCTGCCCTCCCATGGGCAGGCTGACACCCTGCAGGCCTGGCCAGGGCCCTGGACTCCCCACTGTAACTTGTCCACACGGGCCCTGTGCTCGCTCCCACAGCTTGGGGAGCAGAGTGCACAGGGCAGGGATTGGGCCTGGCCAGGGCCTTCCAGTCTGACTCTGTCTCCTGGGCCTCCCTGTGGCCAAGCACCACGTCTGATCCCAGACTATGCATGTCCACTTGATCCTGAAGTCCGGGAGCTCTGGGGAGTTCCTGGCTCCCAGGGGGCTGTGAACTAGGCAAGGCTGCTAGGGTGTTTCTTCTAAGCAGCAGCCTGGTTTCTGTTTGAAAGGAGAAAGAGCTTCAGAGAAGAGTCCTTCTTCTCTGCTGCAAGTTAGCACCCTGTGGGTACTGGGCCCTTGGCAAGAAAGGGGAGGGGGAGAGGGGGTCTGCTGCTGGCCAAGGGCCCTCCTAGGTCCCCCACCTGGGGCGGGGCAGGACTTGAGCTGCCCCGCACCTCCTGCCAGATCACTGTGGGAACTCTGGCCACAAACACCGCAGCCCCCCTTCCTGGCAGCTATTCTTGGTCTGTGTCTCCCTTTGGGGGGAGGATAAGGGTGGAAATGATCAGAAGCTAAAATTAGCAAATGGCAAACAATTGAGGCCAGGAATCTGAGGTCAGCTGAGGATAACGGTTTGTTTTTTTGTGGCCCTGAGGTTGTTTGAGCAATAAAGGGAATTGAAAATGAAAACAAATCTGGAAGCAGCCCAACCCCTGCTGGGACCAAGGCAGACACTGGGTCAGCGGGGGGTAGACCAGGCCAGATGGCAGGGACTTTGCTCAGCCAAGAGACCCTTCCAGGGCTCCCCTCCCCCCACAGGACTTCTGGCTGTTGCCCTTTGAGCTCACCTTCCCCAGCCAGGAGGACATCTACAACTGCGAGCTACAGAAGGCTCCGAAGGGTTCCCCAGGCACTAGTCTGGTTTTGAATTCCACTCCTGGGAGGGCCAGCATTAGCAGTCATGAAAACCCCAGAAACTGTGCCATATAACCAGGGCTACAAGACTCTGCTCTGGTTCTGCAGGCTCTTGCCTTTTAACATAACCCAGGAAAACCCCCCAAGTGACACGACAAGCTAGCCAATCTAGCCCCTCCATCTACAATCCTTCCTCCTCTGGAAGGCCCACCTACACACTCCCGAGGAGACACTACACGACAGCAGGGCGTGGCTACGAAGGTAGGGCCCTGGGCCCCAGGTCAGACGGAGACAGCAGTTGTGACTCCTTCCTGCCCGGAGGTGGGCCAGCTGCAGATAGAGCAGGGGAGGATGGCCCTGCCCCAACACCACTCCATGGTCTGGGGGCCACCTGCCCCCAAGAACTCCAAGCAGCCACTCAGGAGGTCCCACTGCCCAGTGGTCTTGGGATTCTGTCTTGATGCTCATAGCTTGGGACCTGGAAACGTCCTCCCTCTATTCCTAAGGGTGTTCAGCTTGGCCTTGTGATACACAGGACTTAATACAGCCTTTTACTCAAGCACACAGGAGCCCAGAGAGCCTGGGGAGCCAGAGACCAAGCCCTAAGGATGGGACCCCTGTCTCCAGACACAGCAGGTACCCAGAGACTTTTCCACGGGGCTGGCCAAGGACCAGGGACTGGAGCCACAGTAAGTGACACCAGCCTGCACATATGCGCTAATCTCAACAGTCACCAAAGCTCTACAAGACCTGTCCCCAAGCCACACCTAGGCCAAGCAGGATTCGCACAGCATGAGCCTGACCAGGCTCTCCTCATTGTCAGGTTCAGAATGACACTCTACTGTGGGGACTGGCCTTGGCTGCATTTTTATCTCCAGCGAGCTCAGGCCAGAGCCCAGCTGGCCACCACCCTAGCCATCAGGTCTATGCACTGAGCAGGACTGAGGATGCTGGGAAGCATAGGAATTTAGGGGGCAGCACTGTGAAGTCCAGGGCTGTCTTTTCTTGTCCTTGGCCCTTAGGGCAGGTGGAGGGCCCCAGGTGGACTCTGGGGCTGACAAGAGGGATGGGAACCCCTGGGCTCAGCTGGAGCCCTAAAGATGAGAAGAGCTCCCACAGCTGCCTTTCCAGGCCAGGTGCTGCTACAGAAAAACTCACCTTTCCCTGACCTGAAGATCTCAAGACCCTTGCTGTCTAAGGCCACATCACACACCCTATAGCCCTGAGAGCCCGGAGACTCAGGACAGTCTGAGGGTTTAAAAAAAAAAAAGGACAGTTTGAAGGTCCCGGGATAATGAGCGGGTCTGGTGCTTGGGTTCTGTCTACTCTATACAACCAGCTACCTCGGTTCATGATGAAACCCTTTTGGGGATCTCCTAACCCTGTCCCTGCCAGGGTGCCAGACTCCCTGCGCTCAGGAGTGGCTGTGGATGTTGGGTTCATTCTCCCTTTCTAGAAGGCAATGTGACCTTAACTGCACGTGCCCCTACTTGCTCCCAGGAGTTCATGCTATGATAGTAATAAAGATGGGTCCGCTGCAGATGGCAACCAGTCCTGGGATATTCCAGAAGAGCAAGTCACTGGAGCTAGGACAGCCACCAACCCCAGGGCCTATTTAGGACACCAGAGACCACCGGGAAAGGCCAGGTCAAAAAGCCAGTCAGCAACTCACGGATATGATTGTGACAGAATGTTACAGTGGGAAAAATAAAGGACATAAAATGACTTCCATGAGGCAATCCTGAGTTTTATACTAAAACACAGATACAAAAGTGATAACCGTGGTATTTGTGGGTGGGTGAGATGAAAGTTAATGCTATTCCTTCTTTTTACTCTTTCTCTTAATACTTGTTTCCCAAATCCTCTTTATGAACATGCTCAGCTTTTATAATCAGAAATGAAAATGAATGTGGTACACCCAAATCAGTCCTTGGGCAAGCCAACTTCTGGTGAGAAACAGAAACACACATCTACCCCATCCCCAAGCACCTGAACCCAGGCCACACTACTGGTGGAGTACACATTTTCTGACTGTTGACCAGGCCCAACTCAGAAGCTGCCACCAGTCCAGGGATGGCAGATTTGGGTCACCTGGAAAGCCAAGTCATCCCTGGAGATGCTGTGGGATTCTCCACTTGGATGGCCACCAATGTCCCTGGTCAGCATCCTGATTCTCACTGTCACTACCATGTTCTCACAGAAAGGCCAGGAAAAGCTAGGCTCCTCATCTGTTCAGAACTGCTATAGCCCCAAAGTACCCTGGGCCCTGGATGTCAGCCAGGGTTCTGGCCTGGCCACAGGGCCTCCTCTGAAGCCTGTTGAGGGGGCTGTGCCCAGACCAAAGTCACTCTGTGGATCCTTTGATGTCAGACTGGGGGCGGGGGGCTGACACACCAAACCGCATTCTCTAAACACTGTGTGGGTGAAACAGGTGCAAAGCACCAAGCCCTGGGCCTCATTTCTTTTACCCCACTTCCTGGGGGACACAGTTCCCGACACCTCAAGTTTAAGCATCTGACAAAAACAGAACCTAAGAGGAGCATCCTTACCCAGAACCTCACACACTTCACACAGGGATCTTTAATGAGATAAAGTTCCCAGGGTCAGTTCCCTGTGACCCAGATGGAGGCGCCCAGGACAGGTTCTGAACAGTGGGCCCATGTGACTTGTGGGATGAGATGGGAGTGGGTGGGCTGTCCAGGGACCTGGTTCTAGCCCTGCTCTCCCCTCCCTGAGCCAGGATCCCCGGAGTCAGGATCTCCGGACTAGTATGCCTACTTCCCCACTGTGACTTGGGCAGACTCTTTCCCTTCCTAGTTTATAATTTGCATAATGGCTTAAAAACAAAGACCACATACCACACCGCCCTCCAAGTTCTAGGAGGTCAGGGGAATTCTCTGTAGGGGCTTTGCTTGGTGGAAAAGAGCCACATCATCCACAGAAATGTTCGCAAGTTCTGCAAGAGGTCTGCAGAGAATTTGGCAGTTTCAGCAACTCTCCAAGTTGCTTCTCCAAGCAACCTCTCCAAGGACACATGGTGGATCACTTGTTCTACTGTCTAGCTTCATGTGGAATTCCAGGGCCATCTGAACTCACCTGCTTTTTGTTAATTCACCCCAACTTTGCACTGGAAGGAGGGGTGCTGGAAGCTGTGGCACCACCACCGCCCCGCCGCCCCTGGAGTCCTCCAGCACCCCAGGAAAGAGAGACCTGAGGCTACCTCAAGCACCTGAGGACCCCTGCTCCTGACTCTCATCCTCCTGGTTCAGAGACAGTTGTACAGGCCCAGCCCACCCCCACCCCTCAGGGGCCTGGCAAGCACCCAGTTCCTCCTCACCACTTGCTAGGCCCCACAAAGTAGGCACCCCTTGTACACTCACATAGCAAGAAGCCTGTGGAAATATCAGATATGATGCAGCTGAGCAGAGGCTGGGCACTGCTGGCACCAGGTCAGGGGCCTGGAGACTCAGGCCCGGGATGAGTCAAGTCTACTTTTGATCCCTGGCCCCCCGACCGTTCACCAGTCAACCCACAAGAGAGCCGCTACTCCCACTACAGCCCAGCAAGGCACATGCTTTCCACATGGGCCACGCCAGTGGGCAGCCCAGCTGCTGTCAGCCCATCCCAGCTCTGGGAAAATAGTGTCAAAGACAAGACCTGCCCAAGTAAGGAAAGCATTGGGCAGCATCTCCACGGGTCCCAGGCATCCCCCAGAAAGAATTACAGTCACAGACCATGACTCTCCAAACTCAGAAAGCCCCAGCAAGCAGGGACAGTGGGCCCACAGGGAATACAGCATCCCACCCCACCCACATCTGCACTCACCGCTTCCCAAGACAGCATTAGCCCTCCACAAATAGCCCTGGATGATGCTAGCACCAACATCAGTAGCTTAGGCTGCACCCCAGAGCCCCAGGCACAGAACCTGGCATGTGGCTTCAGCCTCCAGCTCCCAGGAACAAAGCTGTCAGGGCCCCGGGGAGGCAGGCCGTGTGCTGCCTTCATGGTCTGCCATATCATGGACGCCAGTAGGGGCTTCCTGGGGCTGAGTGTCAGTGGTTCACTGGAGGTGAGAACAGGGCCACAGCAACAGTGCTCTCTGGGAGGTAAAAACCACGAATACCACTTAATCTTTTCTTTGAGCTTCTCTATATTTTCTGAATTGTTTGCAGTTAACTTATCACTTTCAGTAAAAATGTGCATGCATGTGCCACACGTGACATTTTTCTTCCCAGAAAGCACTCAGGTTAGGCTGACACATCCAGACCCTTGAGTCCCACTGTCATTTCAACACAAGAGCAAGTTAAAGGGAGTAGGAGGGGCTGCCTGTCACTTGTTTGCTTCTGCTGCGGGCTTTCTCTTCTTACACTTGACCACTTCTGTGGTCATCTCAACAAGAGCTAAGCCACATGTCCCACATGCCAGTCCTGTGCATCTTCCACTTTCTTCCACAAGCAGGAAAACCTGCGCTGGGTCCTGCTTTCATCAATAGACGACAGGCGCCCAGGATGAGCAGAAGCTGCTGCCAAAGTCGAGCCAGATCCTCCAGGGGTGGGAATAACCAAGCAGGAGGCACCATACATGGAAACACATGAGGACCAGCATCACCCTCAGAGAAGGCAGGCAGGTGCCGGCCCCAGGAATGTACCATCTGGGAGAAGTCAACTAAATGCCTGCATGTTCTGCCAAAGCCACCTGCGAGGGGACAAGCAACAACCACAGCACCCCAGAGGCTAGGGGACATAGAGAGCAGGAGGTGCCAGCCACCATGACACCAATTTTTCTTCTTCCCTTCATTTCCCAATCACATGACCTCCCCCTCTCCCTCCCTCTCCTTTTCTGGTGCTCCCCACCCTAATCCAGATTCCAAGGCTCTCCTTGCCAAGGCCACTCCCCTTCCCTGTGACAAGGCCCCCAGCCCTCCCTCAGACTCCACCTTTGCTCCCCACCCCTACCCTAATGATGGGGCAGATCTTCCCTGCTCCCACACCACCCATGGTCCCCCCTCCACTACACAAGCCTTGCTCAGAGCCTTGAAACGACCCCCCCCCCCCCCACAACCCATAAGCAGCAGGGACACTTCCCAGACCACCAGTCTAGCCTAGTGTCATAGAAACCAGTTCCCTGGTGGCCCTACACTCCCAGGTGGTTCCCAGACTCAGCTGCCAAGCCTTCTCCTTGGAAGCCTTTGTGCTGCCAGCACAGCATAGCTCTGCCCCCCAGGGACACCTGCTGCTACCCAGAAGGGTGTTCAAGCCCCACCTCCTTGCCTAACTAACCTAGTTTCTTACGCCCACAAATACTCCTACCTACTGAGCCTGGCAACCTGACACAGACCTGACCCCACCACAGCCCCAGCTAAAGGCCAATGGCAGGGGACATGAGATTCCTACCCAGAGCCCTTCCTGTGCTTGCCCCCCACCCCAGGTCACCCACCCAGACCACCAATCCAATCTGTACCTCCCTGACCTGGCTGCTGACTCTCAACTCTGACTGCATGGGGCCGGGGTGCAGAGCAGGGGGCAAAGGTGAGCCAGGCCCAACTACCGAGTGCTTGGCATGTCCCTGTCTAGAAACTGAATGGTTTTGAGGCGCAGGTGGTGTTTTCATTTCGTCTTCCAGTTGAAGATGATGTCTTTGAAAGAGAAAAGGAGGTATGGAAGTAAACCACTGTGACAGAGCAGGCCACTGCCTCATGGGAGGCCTATCCCAGAGCAGAGGCTGTGGTTGTGGGGGAGGCCATGGGAGGCTTTGAGCCCCCATCCTGGAAGCCGCCAAGACCCTGAGAGGCCAGGGGACCAGGTAGGACATGAGGAAAAAGAAGAGAAAGGAAAGGGGGCTGTGGCATCAGCACCAGCAGGACAGAGGTATGGGAACACCCAGCACAGCGCCTGGGGGACACCACACAGAGCCACACTGACTTGGGGAAGGCCAGAGCAGGGCCAGGTGTGCAGGTCTCCCATAGCCTCGAGAGATAGGCCAGGCCCACTAGGGAGGGAGGACAGCTCGGCTCTTAACTTGGGGTGGGGAGAGAAAGGTCCAGTGCCAGAAAAAGGAACAGGGAGGTTACCAGAACCACAGATGGGTGATCTTCCCAGAAACAACAGTCAAGATCATCGACTCGCTGTTCTGTGCAGAACAGGTCTGGATTCCCATGGGGCCAGACTGGAGACCCATGAGGGGCACTGGGCAGTGGGGACATGGGTCAGGGTTGGGGTTCATGCTGGGCGCACACGGGCACTCTGGTGTCATATCCTCTCTGCACACAAGCTCCATCTGAGCTCTGAGGATGTCATGAGAAATGTCTGCCCTCTGTTATTCCCTTTAGAACTGGGATCAGAGCATGTTTATCAGAGTGTTATTACTGTCAGCAGAGGAAAACTTTACCCATAGGGCAGCCTAAGTGATGAGCTGGTGGGGGCAGGGTGGGGAGAGCTGGAGACCCCAAGGAGGCTGGCCCATTATAAATGGGTGGTGTGAGTAGAATTTCATGTGGCTAAGAACATTTGAAGACCTTCCACCAGGTTGGCTGAGCAGACATCCTGGGGTGGAACTGGACTCTGGTCCAGTACTGCTGTGGTCAGTCCTGTGACAGAGACATTCCCACCCACCCCCAGTCACAGAGATAGGGTGCTGGCACATCTGAGCATAGCTGCCTCGGGCTGTGCGTGGCCCAACACACCAGCCAAATGGGGTGCTGCCCATCTGGGGACATCGGGGTACAGCC